AACCTATCCTTATGCTAGTGGACATTATATTGTTTGGGTTGAGGTAAGAGGTGTGGACGGAGAGGAAAGGAAAGTTTCAAGTATTTACTGTCTTCAATAACCACTTAGGAAACTCCGGGTCAAGACTCAAAACGTATGGCTATGACCACACCACAATTAACCACAGGGAAGGAGTAGGTCAGAGAGAAATATAGGCCAAGATAAAACACTTCACTTCAGCAAAACAAATTTGATGTATACATTGCATACTCAATCAAATTTCAATAACTTCAGGACAAGGGATATTTCACCCAAATTACAAAATGACAAGTTTGTTTCCTTACCCTGTAAGCAGTCTATGGACAAAGTATGTAAACCTTTAAACAAAAATGTAAATAAAAAATAGACTGCGCTACAGACGGCTATATCAGTCCGCTAATAAAGGGCAGACATTTTTTTCTAAACAGCATTTGTTTTTTATAGATCAGATTTTTCAGGGGTTGCTGCAGCACCCACAGAATCCCTACTTCCTGCTGTTATGGTTCCAAACCTCTCTGCCAATAACAGCTCATTTTCTGTTTTCCCCTCCCCACTCAAACCACTCCTAGCTTATTCTTGCTTGAGAAATTGCTCTTTGCTAAGAAGCTATTTATGTTTCTTTTTTTTACCATATTAAATGAAAACAATTACATGAAGGTACTTCATCTTTACCCAGAAATGATTTGATATTGAGATAAAAATGGCTGCATTGACCTTTAAGGGTGTGCAAGGCTCTGTAATGTTAGGAATACATGTTGCCCCATGTATCATTTTTGCTTACGAATTACTGATGAATAATAATAATTTGATCGTAAAAAACATATTCTAACTTTGCAATAGGTCTGGTACTGTAGTGGCCATACATTCTAAGGCCTAGAATCTAGACCTTATCTAGACCACTGACCCTAAACCCTTCCGTCATAAATCATTCAAAAGGGTGAGAAAGTTAATTAGAGTATTCAGACTCTGTGTCGTGCCACCTTAGTGAATGTCCCACAAAAGTGACATAGTTAGAGCCCTCAAATTCGACACCTTCTCATTAAGTGTCCGGTAGAGTCGAGTCCAGCAACATTGTCCTCCGCTCAGTCTAGAGGCCCCCCCACCATTAAAGAGTCCGAGAGAAATGTCACACATGCTCTCTGCCGGTTATCAGCCAGGGGTCATCTGATGTACTTACATAAACATCCCTCTGCGCTATTTACGCACAAGCTGCCACCTCCGAACCGCTACGCCATCTTGACCCGCCATGGAATGCCAGTCGTCAGCCCTATAGCATGTTTACCTCTGCCTAGGCCCTACGGAAACTACGTATTTGTTACGGTCATGGACATGATGCGATTGTTCTATGTATAATCATAGCCGCGGGAAGTAGGGGTGCTGAGGGTGTTGCACCACCCCCTGAAAAATCAGAATACACATTTCTTTCTCTTACAAAAGTAGTGCACTGGGCCTTTAATTGTGTTAGCTGACTGATATAGACATCTGTAGTGCTGGCAAAAACTTTTTTCAGCATCTCTGCAGTAGGTAACTGTATAATTAAGAACAGTATCTTGCAGGATTCAATAGTTGGAATTGTAAGAGTTGTTGCCCTGTCCTTTTCTCTGGGATTGCCATTCTAATGGAATCCAGAAAGAACAAAGCCATGTCCTCAAACATTTACATCAAAAGGTGCAAAGTTATGGGCAAAGACACAAAACATCCACATTAAAGTGCTGAAGCGCGTAGCGCTTAAAAATCGTCTGTCCTCGGATGCAACACTCACTACCGAGTTCCAAACTGCTTCTGGAAGCAATGTCAGCACAAGAACTGTTCGTCGGGAGCTTAATGAAATGGGTTTCCATGGCTGAACAGCCGCACACAAGCCTTAGATTACCATGCACAATGCCAAGCGTCAGCTGGAGTGGTGTAAAGCTCGCCACCATTGGACTCTGGAGCAGTGGAAACGCGTTCTCTAGAGTGATGAATCATGCTTCACTATCTGGCAGTCCGACGGACAAATCTGGGTTTGGCGGATGCCAGGAGAACACTACCTGCCCGAATGCATAGTGCCAACTGTAAAGTTTGGTGGAGGAGGAATAATGGTCTGGGGCTGTTTTTCATGGTTCAGGCTAGGCCCCTTAGTTCCAGTGAAGGGAAATCTTAACTTTACAGCATACTATTACATTCTAGACGATTCTGTGCTTCCAACTTTGTGGCAACAGTTTGGGGAAGGCCCTTTCCTGTTTCAGCATGACAATGCCCCCGTGCACAAAGCGAGGGCCATACAGAAATGGTTTGTTGAGATCGGTGAGGAAGAACTTGACTGGCCTGCACTGAGCCCTGACCTCAACCCCATCGAACACCTTTGGGATGAATTGGAACACTGACTGCGAGCCAGGCCTAATCGCCCAACATCAGTGCCCGACCTCACTAATGCTCTTGTGGCTGAATGGAAGCAAGTCCCCGCAGCAATATTCCAACATCTAGTGGAAAGCCTTCCCAGAAGTGGAGGCTGTTATAGCAGCAAAGGGGGCACCAACTCCATATTAATGCCCATGATTTTGGAATGAGATGTTTGACGAGCAGGTGTCCACATACTTTTGGTCATGTAGTGTACAGTACAAAACTCTATTGTACATAGGTTGGTCATCTAGGTTTGTACCTGTAGACTTTCCATCACCACAGTAATTGAATACATTGAGACATCAAGTGGTTTGTGATAATGTGATGATGTGGCTCAGTTGGTAGAGCTAGGGTTGTGGGTTCAATTCCCATGGGGGACCAGTATGACAATGTATGCACTCACTACTGTAAGTTGCTCTGGATAGGAGAGTCTACTAAAATTGAAAAGGAATGAATAGACCATTTGTTTTCAAAGAAATTAGTTGCATTTGCAAAGTATTTCAGGAAACTGGAAAACATATCAAGCACATATTTTAATTTACTATTTTGTACAGATAATTATCAGACTCAAGTTACAAATGCTGGTAAACACTCAAATGCATTTTTTTTTTTATCACAAAAGTAGTGCACTGGGTCTTTACTAGTCCTGTATTAGCAGATGGATGTAGACATCTTCAGCAGGCATTTTTCTTTCTGCATTCCCAAAAAAACAACCTCGCAGCACCCCACACTACTTCCCGTGGCTACGCGTATCATTGATTCAAATTCAACCCCTATAAAATATTCTGAACACCAGTATATGTAATGTGCAATTTGAGGAATTACAAAAAGATGTCAAATTTACAATAAAAATGTTTGAATGAAAAGCTGCTTCTGTACTTCAAGTGAAAACATGGCCGCCAAACTAACATAGAATGCTACAACGTTGCAAATATCGGAGACAGACAAGGTTTATGCAAATCTCGGATGAAAAAAAAAATGTTAGTCTAAAAGAAATGAGATGTCTAGATGCTTTTTATAGTGGAGATCAAGTTTATAAAGTGCCCGGCTGGGCTGATAATGTGGATTGCAGTCAGATGGAACAGAGTAAATAGCCATTTTAACATCATACAGTAGATTTAGCCGGTGGTAACTTGTGGAATAAACACCGGCTGGAATGTAGTTTTAACCAATCAGCATTCAGGATTAGACCCACCTGTTGTATAATGCTATATAAAGTGAGGCAGTCTATAGGACCAATGTTTCCAAGGCCTGCAGTTTTTCCAAACAGTGTCATAATGCATATGAGACAGATGGTGAAATGGGTATTTCTATCCAGGATGCTTCTGTAAATGCACCCTGCTGCAGTGATGTTGCTATGCTGAAAATTCTGTGTTATGCCAGCCAGCCCCCAGCACAAAGAATCCCACTGGTCACGTTCTCCATGTCAGGTTTATTTTGCTGTCCTGCTTTTAAAAGCCTGTATTGTGCAACTGTTGTGTCATGCCTACTAACTCAGTCATAGCACCAGAATATGCATCACAGCTGGCTAGGTGATGGATTAGCCAAAATCTCTTGTACAAGACAAGTCAATTTTCCTCACCATTTTAAAACACATTTGAATTCTGTAATCAAATTCTATTTTCTTTCAAAATGGCAATCACCGAGTGGAGTGTAATGCAGTTGAACCCAGATTAGAAAACATTTGAATTAACATTTAACACATGACAAAGTTTAAAATGTTTTATTGTCAAAAAGACAAGATTTCCACTTCCTTTAAAAAGGAATTTCAGTTAAAAATCCTCAGTTGCTTAAACAGCACTGCAACCGTCAAGCATTGAGAACGGTATTGCGATGAAAACGTCGAGAAAACAAGGTATAAAAGATCAAGCTCTAAAGAACTCCCGTGGAGCTAGGATCTAACAAGTGCAAAACAAATTTACTTTGATTTTAACATTTTCTAAATGGCAGTTTAAGGTGTCTGCATCTGTCGAGGTTGAGAGCCTGCACCATTGATGAGCAGCATGTTCACAAGGACAAACAGTCAATGACTCGCTAACAAACATTCACATACCCGCAATTCAGCACTGAACCCTTACATTATGGCCCCTGACCATTTTCCAAGTCCTGCTCCTCTAGGTGTTTTTACTTTGCTCAACACAGTAGACAAATCTGGAAACAAACTCTACAGACTGATGCAACTACAAAGTGGCTAGTGACTGAACAAAAACATGTACTTACTAAAATGTGGAAAACCAGGACATCAAAACATTAAACGCCAAATATTTATCGTCATGAGTAGGAAAATGATTGATTACCAAAGACTATCTACCAGGGCAGCAGGTAGCCTAGCGGTTAGAGCAGGGTTCTTCATTTCCGGTCCTGGAGGGCCGAAACACCTCTGTTTTTCATCCTCTCCTTCTAATCAGGGGCTAATTCAGACCTGGGACACCAGGTGAGTGCAATTAACTACCAGGTAGAAATAAAAAAACAGAAGTGTTTCAGCCCTCCAGGACCGGAATTGAAGAACCCTGGGTTAGAGTGTACGGCCAGTAACTGAAAGGTCACTGGTTTGAATACCAGAGCAGAGAAAAAAAAAGAAAGAAAAAAAAGGTTGATGTGCCCTTGAGCAAGGCACTTAATCCCAATTTGCACCAGGGGTGCTGTACTACTATGGCGGACCCTGTAAAACGACACATTTCACTGCACCCATCCGGTGTATGTGACAATATAAATATATCCAAAATATTACATTTAACTTTAGCTGATTGGAAAACTTTGTTCAAATATTTTGAAGTCAATGAGTAATGCTAATCTTGTTCAGGCATTAGACCATAATCCATTACAGTAACCAAGCCTCGCCCATCCATTTTTAATAATCAGCTGTACCATCCTGGACATTGGAACAGACAGGCTGGTTGACCGGCCTTTGGACACCTCCGATAACCTTCGTATTCCACTCCTCTATCACATGACAAACTGTATTCATACAAAAACCATTTAGAAAATAAGACCCTCCAGGAGTGATTTTTACATTCAGATGCTTAAGTGTAGAAGTGCATTGTACCCCCCCCCAATCCCAGAAGTCCCACCTTCCGCCATCCCCTCAGTACTCTACCACGGTACCAGCCGAGGAGGAGTAGAGCTTCTTCTTGATGAGCCGGAAGCCCGGACTGAGTTTGAGCACATGCCTGAAGCCTGGAGTGAAACAGGCGCCAATGTGCAGGAAGTCTCTGAGGCTGGGCCAGGCGCTGCCATCCTGCTTGAACACCAGCGTCAGCTCGAAGGTGGGCACCACGTCTGCGTTGTACACGATGCGCTCCAGCTGCTTGCAGCACTTCTCCTGTTCCAGGTGAATGTAGAGCACACAGCCACGCATGCCGCATGGCTCGCCCGACGACAGGCGCAGGATATCGCGCGCTATCCTCCGAGTCAGCTTCTCCGGGACTAGCACCTTTGAGCAGTGCAGCGTGGTCTTTTTGGCCCGCGACAGGCAGTTCTCAAACATCTTGGCCAGCTGCTGACATGTCCGGTCCTCAGACACCTCCACATTCAGGTGGGATTCAGCCAGACAGTGGTCCCAGAAATCCAGCTCTAATTGCAGACAAAAAGACAATAGTTGAGTGAAGGATTTTAAGGCAAAAGCTCCTTATGGAACTCAGTCAAACACTGAATACAACAATAACATTTGATGTAGCGTCTCAATAAATTACATTTGTTCATTCATTTAATCTGAGGGCTTAATAATGGATAAACAAACATTGTAAAGATTGCCATCCCAAGTGTCCCTTTCAAGTCAGTGAGAAAGAAATGAGACCTGAGCCAAAGTCATGGTCCATGGACTGCTTTCAACATAACTGTCTATATTCAAATCATTGACAGGAGGGGCATTTTTTTTTTGTCATTTAGTAGACACTCTTATCCAGAGCGACTTAGTGAGTGCATACATTTTCATACTGGCCCCCCGTGGGAAACGAACCCACAACCCTGGCGTTGCAAGCGCCATGCTCTACCAACTGAGCTACAGGGGACTTACAGGCATCAGTGACAGAGTTCAATGTTTGAGAGAAGTCAACATCCAAACCCCCAGAAGCAAATTAAACCTAAAAGTTATAATTAATTACAGTAACGTTACAAAATTAGCATAAGGCATCTATGTGCATTCAAATCTCACATTGACACATGCCAGCAACTTTCATTGACGAATAAACGGAGTCCTGTAGGGTAGCACAGAGCTGATGAGAAAAGATGACTTCATCTTTTGTTGACTTCACCATCCACTCCCTCCCTCCCTCCCTCTCGCTCTCCATTCTTCCCTGCGCTGCAGCTATGCGCCAATATTGGAGTAAACAAGCTCTGAAGACTTTAGAAATGCCCAGTTGCATAATAGGCCTACACATGCAAGTATACATTGTAGAAGAATAAAACGAGTTCCAAGCTTACCATTGTCGATACAAGCCTGGTCGTATCTACGGTCAATCAATTCTGATATGCATTCAGCGTTTTTACTCTTCAGTGTGCTTGTAGCAACAACCATAGCGACACTCCGTTTGTTCCTTTAAAGTGATGTAAAAACAACGGGAAAATGTTCAATTACAATTGAGCAACAATTTGCAAGCCAACTTGGCATAGATGGCTTAAAATGTGATACTAGCAAGCAAACATTCGCCAACTTGTCATCAAAATAAAGCTTTTAAGTTAACTAAGTGGGCTAACTTGCATCAAGTTACAACAAACGTTACCTAGCTAATGTTTCGAAAATGTGTATAATAACATTTCGGATTAGTTCTAATGTTGTAGCAGATCGTTTGGTTGCAGCATCAGAGTATTCAAGAAGGACAATAAAATAGACTCGCTTACCTTGATGTTTGTCCAAATTAAATTACTTTAAAAAAATAAAGGTTATCTTATAAATACTTTCCAACATAGGCTACACAACCACACAGCCTACATCTAGTGAAAAGCGTCCGGGGATATTTATACCCTTCTCCTCACCGATGACGCAGTTTTGACCAATCAGAATCATTTTATCATTCTGGAACTTGCTGAAGTTTACCAAGCAACACACATCGCGCTTGTCAGGGCGCTCAGATAACGTCTGCCCGGAGGCACATGATTGGCCACGGAAAAAATTGCATCAACCAATAATCAAGAAACATTACTTTGTTGCTAACTGCATTTTGCAATCACTCACCTGCGATAATTCATTAGGCAAAAAGTGTTAGTAGTCAAATTATTACCCCAAGGATGATATTCAACAGGTAGTCTCCTAAACTCATGTATTTTTTGTGCTTCATTGTTCAGAATGTAATGAGATGTGTGCATATCTATGGTTGCTACCCTACTTTTTTAAAATCTGTTTTGTGTCTAACAATAACATTATATTATTAGTGGTTGAGAAATGTATGACCAGATGGATTGCACATTCATTTTGCACTCTGGGTACATTTTAGAGGTGGAGTAATGGCTCTAAAATGGCTTGACACTCTCCTAAATTTCATTTAGAAAACTGAGCATAAAATGTTGCTTTTCTTACCACATCTACGTGTGTGTTATTTTTTCCACCCAATCTTCTGTTTTGCAGCCTAAACTAACCAGATGAAGCAAAACAACAGGTCCATATTCCATTAGCTGTTGTACTAATTGATCATTTACAATATTCAGTATAACATATTTTCCAAACAAGGACTTCCAGGTCATCCTGAATGGCGAGACAGTTGCTTCCAGACACCTCTGGAAATGGGATCTTGGGGTGAAATTGGTTGAAGGAGTAATAGAACACATCAAGGGTTACCCTGACGACTCACACAAAATTATTCTGCTGCTCTGTCATTCGCTGCATACTTTAGTCTGAGACGGCCATCATTGAAGTCGTTGGTATTGATGAGTGCAACAAGGGGTGTTTTACAAACAAAGTCATCAGTGATTGGATCGTCTCTAACCAATCAGAGTATCAAAGCCAATGATGAATTTTCAAACTGCCGCTTTACCCACGTGTGTTCTGGCTTTAGCCCAACCCATCGGTTTCTGGATCAATCAGGTAGCCCCGAATGTGTTCGCATTCGGTGGAGGATCAGGGAGGTACTCAGATCCAGACTCATTGCTGAGAAGAAACTAACGTCCGTGGGCGTGGCGTAGCTTTTGGCTGGAGCAAGGAGTCTGTGTAGCCAGGCAAATCAAGGGCCTCCTCCCACCTGAAGGTAAGTGCAGTGAAGTATTTTGTCTTTGGTCTCCTGTGCATCAGAAGACTGTGTTAGCCCACTGAGCTAGCCTAGTGTTGCTTTGGGGAACTTACACGTCTTCATTAACTCATCACATGAGCATTACTCACCAAACCACCTCAATCTTTTTACCCCCCTTCGCCATCCTCTTTCTCAGAGAACCATGCAGGTCACGGAACCAATGTGAGAGACTGGGTTTGAACCCAGGTGTCCTGTGTCAGAACGATTGGGAACTATTTCACGCTGGGAAGATTTTTACATGACATCCTGCACGGCACAAGATTAGCCCTTGAGCTAAATCCTCAGCTCAGGAAGCAATCACCAGTCTTCAGTTCTCAGGCAAAGTTACTCATCACAAATTTGTGGCTTACTGAACCATGTACAGTATGGAGAGGCACTGGTAGGTTTGTGTGCATTGTTCAATAAGCTGTTAGAAGAGTGATGCTTAACAATGTAGCTGCAGCACAACAGCCACACTCGGGGAATCCATTATCAATCCCTCTCAACAGCCATTTGATTTCCCCCATGCAATCCGACTCCCCAGGCCTGGCCTTCCCTCATTACAGCTGAGGGTAATGGAATCCAGCGCACCAGGGAGCTCCCACTGTCACATGGATAGAACAAGATACCCCTAAAAAAACACAGTCACATGCATTGCCAGTGCAGCTGGAGACTAGAAGAAAAGTTAACATTGCTAATGTTTTAAATTTAATAAGGGCATTACACTACAGCCAGTCTAATATTTGCTGATAAGGATGCCGCTTTCATGTGCTAATCGGAACTAGGAGACTCGGAAATGTCCGACTTGCTAACTGGTTGAAGTTATACACATGCTGCGTTCATGACTCACAAACAGGGTTGCCAGGTCCCTCTGGCAGGATTCCCTAAAACCTTCCATAAGGCCATTTCCCCTCACACCTGTATAAAGTTAAAACGTTATGGCACATACAACCGATACCAGTTTATTTGGTGTTTTTTACATTTCATATAATTTCATAAATGTTGCAGGCCGTAAAACTATGTTCAGACCCATTGTCAAGTCCCGCCCTCTTTAGTTACTGTTGCGAGGTAAGACACTTTTCCCACCGCAAATAATATTATTTATTATTATTATCTGCGCATGTGCACGGGCGCGCTTCACACATTGTGTAATGTACACGAATGCGTTCTGAAAAAAATTGTGATATAAACACCGAATTGTTTTATTTTTCGTGTGCCTGTCGCAAATTTCCAATAAGTAATTTGTGTCTATTTCACAATAATCTGTGATAGTGGGTTGCGTGTTGCAGTATGATTCTAGGTCTGTTGACTGGGGCTGACCAGAGTAAGAACAGCACATGTTCTCGTTTTCCTCCATTTTGCTATCCACTCAATTGTCATTCCTTAATTTCCACCTTCACCTTCTCTTTCTTTTCAATCAACTCACACAGCCCAGCCCAGGTACAATGGGTTCGGAAAAGTTTTCAGACCCCTTGACTTTTTCCACATTTTGTTACGTTACAGCCTTATTCTAAAATGGATGAAATAGTTTCCCCCCCTCAACAATCTACACACAATACCCCATAATGACAAAGCAAAAACAGTTTTTTACAAATGTTTGCAAATGTATTAAAATAAAAAACTGAAATATCACATTTACATATGTATTCAGACCCTTTACTCAGTACTTTGTTGAAGCACCTTTGGCAGCGATTACAGCCTCAAGTCTTCTTGGGTATGACGCTACAAGCTTGGCACACCTGTATTTGGGGAGTTTCTCCCATTCTTCTCTGCAGATCCTCTCAAGCTCTGTCGGGTTGGATGGGGAGCGTCTTGCACAGCTATTTTCAGGTCTCTCCAGAGATGTTCGATCGGGTTCAAGTCCGGGCTCTGGCTGGGCCACTCAAGGATATTGAGAGACTTGTCCCGAAGCCACTCCTGCGTTGTCTTGGCTTTCTGCTTAGGGTCATTGTCATGTTGGAAGGTGAACCTTCGCCCCAGTCTGAGGTCCTGAGCGCTCTGGAGCAGGTTTTCATCAAGGATCTCTCTGTACTTTGCTCCGTTCATCTTTCCCTCGATCCTGAACAGTCTCCCAGTCCCTGCTGCTGAAAAACTTCCCCACAGCATGATGCTGCCACCACCATGCTTCACTGTAGGGATGGTGCCAGGTTTCCTCCAGATGTGACGCTTGGCATTCAGGCCAAAGAGTTCAATCTTGGTTTCATCAGACCAGAGAATCTTGTTTCTCATGGTCTGAGAGTCCTTTAAGTGCCTTTTGGCAAACATCAAGCGGGCTGTCATGTGCCTTTTACTGAGGAGTGGCTTCCATCTGGCCACTCTACCATAAAGGCCTGATTGGTGTGCTACAGAGATGGTTGTCCTTCTGGAAGGTTCTCCCATCTCCACAGAGGAACTCTGGAGCTCTGTCAGAGTGACCATCGGGTTCTTGGTCACCTCCCTGACCAAGGCCCTTCTCCCCCAATTGCTCAGTTTGGCCGGGCGGCCAGCTGTAGGAAGAGTCTTGGCGGTTCCAAACTTCCTCCATTTAAGAATGATGGAGGCCACTATGTTCTTTGGGACCTTTAATGCTGCAGAAATGTTTTGGTACCTTTCCCCAGATCTGTGCCTCGATACAATCCTGTCTCGGAGCTCTACCGACAATTCCTTCGACCTCATGGCTTGGTTTTTGCTCTGACATGCACTGTCAACTGTGGGACCTTATATAGATACAGTGAGGGAAAAAAGTATTTGATCCCCTGCTGATTTTGTACGTTTGCCCACTGACAAAGACATGATCAGTCTATAATTTTAATGGTAGGTTTATTTGAACAGTGAGAGACAGAATAACAACAAAAAAATCCAGAAAAACGCATTTCAGAAATGTTATACATTGATTTGCATTTTAATGAGGGAAATAAGTATTTGACCCCTCTGCAAAACATGACTTAGTACTTGGTGGCAAAACCCTTGTTGGCAATCACAGAGGTCAGACGTTTCTTGTAGTTGGCCACCAGGTTTGCACACATCTCAGGAGGGATTTTGTTCCACTCCTCTTTGCAGATCTTCTCCAAGTCATTAAGGTTTCGAGGCTGACGTTTGGCAACTCGAACCTTCAGCTCCCTCCACAGATTTTCTATGGGATTAAGGTCTGGAGACCGGCTAGGCCACTCCAGGACCTTAATGTGCTTCTTCTTGAGCTACTCCTTTGTTGCCTTGGCTGTGTGTTTTGGGTCATTGTCATGCTGGAATACCCATCCACAACCCATTTTCAATGCCCTGACTGAGGGAAGGAGGTTTTCACCCAAGATTTGACGGTACATGGCCCCATCCATCGTCTCTTTGATGCAGTGAAGTTGTCCTGTCCCCTTAGCAGAAAAACACCCCCAAAGCATAATGTTTCCACCTCCATGTTTGACGGTGGGGATGGTGTTCTTGGGGTCATAGGCAGCATTCCTCCTCCTCCAAACACGGCGAGTTGAGTTGATGCCAAAGAGCTCGATTTTGGTCTAATCTGACCACAAACACTTTCACCCAGTTCTCCTCTGAATCATTCAGATGTTAATTGGCAATCTTCAGACGGCCCTGTATATGTGCTTTCTTGAGCAGGGGGACCTTGCGGGCGCTGCAGGATTTCAGTCCTTCACAGCGTAGTGTGTTACCAATTGTTTTCTTGGTGACTATGGTCCCAGCTCCCTTGAGATCATTGACAAGATCCTCCCGTGTAGTTCTGGGCTGATTCCTCACCGTTCTCATGATC